TAAATTTTTTTTGTTCTTTGTATATTTTTGATTAGGTTCTTTTTTAAAAAAAAAAAAGGTGTGTGTGAGTGCACATGCGTGTGTTTGAACAGATGTATGTGTACATATTTTCCAGATTGATATTTGTTTTAACCATTAGTTTCACGTAAATGTATTTTAAAAATCAATAGAATTGATTAGTATTTTTGTGCATTTAATTGGCAACTATGATTTTCATTAGTTTAATTTTAATATTTATGACATGCCACGAATATAAATACATTTTCCCCCATAAATAGTGTTTTTTTTAAGATTTTTTTTTTTTTAATAAGTTTCCATTATTAACATTTGTCTGTATTCGCTAACACAAAGGTGCGCAAGAGATTGTTTCGTTCAATTTGCACTTAATTCTTAAAAAAACGTTAAATCCTGGGATTTCTCATTGTGTGCATGAATATGAACGTGTAATTTGCCAAATGTTTATTAATGACTTACTGTAGTAACATTTGTGTATACACCTACACATTTATTAATTAGTAATTAATTTTTTTGTCATTTTAATTTAAGGCAGTTGTGAATGTATAATTTCCTAGAATTATGGGTATTCATGCAGTGCATTTTGATGCAGTTCTGTGCATGTGAGTGAGTGAGCATGTTTGTCCAAGTGCATGTATGTGAATTTTGTTGGGATGATTGGCCAAGTGAATTTTATTTGTGGCTGAATGCGCCTGTGTGAGTGAGAATGAGTGTTAATCCCTGAGTGAGGACGTGCAGATCTGAATAACTGTTTATAGTGTGTGTTTAAAAATCCTTGGACTTGATTGAACTTTTTCTTCCGAAGTGTAATAATTTTTAATTTTATACTGTTCCATCAAGCCCAAGGTTTTCGGTCTGACCGAAACCAAGTTTTTAAGTCCGCCGATAAGCACTCATTGCATGCTGATGCGCCAAGGCGCTCCATCACGTATGATTGCTTGTTGTCAGTCCCAAGCCTGAATGAAAAAGGACGAGGGGAAACTTGGTCAGTATAGACATGAATTTTAAATTAATTATTGTCTGTCAATTGACTTCTATATCTAGTTAATAAATTATTTTGTCATAAATTGTTTTCTTTTTCCTTAAAAATCCTATTCTAATACCAAACTTTTAAAGCATCCTCAAAGGTGAAGATTTAAGAAAAATTGCTGTGCTTGTTGTCAGTCCCAAGCCTGAAAGAAAAAGGACGAGGGGAAACGGTCATTATAGACATGAATTTTAAATTAATTATTGTCTGTCAATTGACTTCTATATCTAGTTAATAAATTATTTTGTCATAAACTGTTGTTTTCTTTTTCCTTAAAAATCCTATTCTAATACCAAACTTTGAAAGCATCCTCAAAGGTGAAGATTTAAGAAAAATTGCTGTTACCATTAACAAATAACTAAGTAAGTAGTAAAAGATAATCTTATTAAGCAAAAGATAGTATTTGCATGAGCAATAAGTCGAATGATTGATATCCATCATTGTGTGGACCCTGTGCCTTTATCAAAACCTGTATATATGACATTCTTCCAGTAGAGTGGAGTGTGGCAAGGATTTCTCTTTAGCCCTATACTGTTTTCGATGACCAGTCTATTAATTGGTACATTTGAAGTGCCTTTTCACTCCCCTATGATCTCCTTTGATTCATTCCATTTGTTTCTTTCTTTCGATATCATGCCATGAGGTTTTCAATTAGTTGACCATTGAGTAAATTCCTTCCTCATGTTTATTATGTATATTTTCCTTAATTTACTCGTTAGTTTGGATCCTTATCATCTAATTCCAATCTCGAACATCTGCCAGTTGAAAAAAATATGGGTTATCGGGACATTATTTGGGATTGAATCTATGAAACATTTAATGGGAGAGTAATGTTTTCTGATAGCATGATTACAGGGTGATGCTTTAGTTTTGAAGTATGGGAATGGGTTTTACGGTTGTAAGGTCAACTATAAATGTAATAAGGAGGTGAGCAAAAATTTGTTTTTGACTTACAAACAGTAATGAAATTTTCTATTTTTCAATTTTGTAATTGTTTTAGAAATACGTAAAGCAAATGTTTCTGGTTGGAAGATTGGTTTCCATACTTGGTATACATTTCTCGGCTCAACCTTTGCACTTTTTTAAATTTTTTTTTTATAATGTTGAACCTCATCGTAACAAAAGCATCAGGTTTAAAAGGGACTAGGGTAAGTTTTATAGTTGGCAAGAATATCATTCGAGCAGAGATTTATTACCTTTAACAAAAAAATTGTTCCCCAGAATGTTTGAAGTAAAATTCTGATAAAAGTGTAAAATGAAATCATCATTTTGCGATATCAATCAAGAAGCCATTGTATTAGCTCATAAAACTCATATAATGCTGATATCTATTCATTTTGGTAAACCCATTCATGGTAACAAAAGCATCATTTTAGAAGGGCTAAGGTGTAAAATAACTGAAAAGAACCTGATTGATATGAATCGAGCAGAGATTGCATGGAAAAAAACTGCAAGAATGGTTGATAGATCAATCAAGCAGATTTATAAGCCTGCTTGAACATTTTTTTTGTGTGCCGAATGATTTTCATCATAAAACTAATGTAATGCTGATACCTATTCACTTTTGTAACAAAAGCATTATTTTAGAAGGGTTAAAATAAAATAACTGACAAGACCCTGTTTGATATCAATCGAGCAAAGATTTATTAGCTTATATGAAAAAAATTGTGCCTGAATGATCGATATTCATCGTAAAACTCATATAATGCTGATATCTATACATTTTGGTAACGAAAGAATCATTTTAAAAGGTCTAAGCTAAAATTATAACTGGACAAGAACCTGATTGATAGTTCATTCGAGCAGATTTATTAGCCTGCTTGAACTTTTTTTGTGCCTGAATGATTGATATTCATTATAAAACTAATAAAATGCTGATACCTATTCACTTTTGTAATAAAAGCATTATTTTAGAAGGGTTAAAATAAAATAACTGACAAGACCCTGATCGATATCAAGCCAAGGCTTATTAGCTTACATGAAAAAAAAAATTGTGTTCCTGAATGATTGATATTCATTGTAAAATTAATGGTAATGCTGATATTTATTCATTTTTGATTACAAAAACGTAACTTTAGAAGGACTAAGTTAAAACTATAACTGACAAGAACCTGATGGATAGGTATCAATCAAGCAGAGATTTATTAGCTTGCCTGAAATTTTGTGTGTGCCTGAATGATAGATATTCATCATAAAGCTCATATAACGCTGATCTATTCATATATATTTGGTCAATAGACCATTAAATATAATGGATTTAATATTCTAAATGATTAGTATCAATCAGAGCAGATATTTATTATCTTACACGAAAAAAATTGTGTGCGAATGATTGATAATCATAAAACTCATAATGCTGACATCTATTCATTTTGGTAACGAAAGCATCATTTTAGAAGGGCTAATGTAAAATTATAACTGACAAGAACCTGATTGATAGCTCAATGGAGCAAATTTATTAGCCTGCTTGAACATTTTTTGTGTGCCTGAATGATTTTCAACAAATTACTCATATAATGCTGATAAATATTCATTTTTGATGCTGAAAGCATACATTTAGAAGGACTAAGGTAAGATTATAACAGACACTAACCTGATTGATAGGTATCAATCAAGCAAATTTATTAGCTTGAATTAAACAAAATTCTGCTGCCTGAATATTGATGTTCATCATAAAATTATATAATGCTGATACCTATTCACTTTTGTAACAAAAGCATTATTTTAGAAGGGCTAAGATAAAATTATAACTGAAAGAACCTGATTGCTATCAATCGAGCCAAGGTTTATTAGCTTAAATGGAAAAAATTGTGTCCCTGAATGATTGATATTCTCATAAAACTCATATAAGAATGCTTTCTCCTCATTTTTGAAAAGAAAGCATCAGGACAAACACTCATAGTCGATCGTAATCTGAATCATTAATCAAATCCGGCTGATATTTATTAGCTTACATGAAAAAAATAACGCCTGAATGATTGAAATTCATTGTAAAACTCATATAGTGCTGATATTTATTCATCATTTTTAGTAACTAAAGCATGATTAAGCTAAGCTGAAAGTAACTAAAGGGCTAAGGTAAGATGATTGATGTAATGTAATGTAAAATTATAACTGACAAGAACCTGATTGATAGCTCAATGGAGCAAATTTATTAGCCTGCTTGTACAGAGTGACAAGAGCCTGATTGATAGGTGTCAATCAAGCAAATTTTATTAGCTTGCATAAAAAAATGTGCCTGAATGATTGATATTCATCGTGAAATAATATATTGCTGATATCTATTCATTTTTGGTAAGACAAAGGTTTATAGTTGAAAAGAATCTGAATCAAGCAAAATAAAAAATATTGGGTAACTGAATGATATTAGTTGAAAAACATGTAAAATGTAATGGTCTATTCTTTTTCATACCAAAAGTTTAGAAGGATCTGAATGCTCTAATTTGAAAAACCCTTGGTTTATAAAGGTATACGTTATGTGTCCAAAAGTTTGAAATCCATCGAAAAAAGTGAAATCATGTCCGATACCCTCATTTTTGAAAAATTCTACCCTAATCCAAGAGACTATTACAGATTAAAGTAAGGAAGTATATAGTAAGTCGCATATAACATACTATTTTATAGATTACAAGTACCTAAAAGAATAATATCAATAAAGAATATATCAGTAATAAATAATGAAATCGTAGCTGACATCTTAAGTACAAAAAAATCTAGGATTAACACCAATGTACGTTTAAGTAATCCATCTTAAATGGATGGATGATTTTAATGCATTTTTTCCTGGAAATTGTGTAAGGGAAAAGTAAATAAAAACAACATTATTTTTCTATAAATTTTTCTTTTTTTCCCCGATCATTCTGCTGGAGTGAAAATAGGAGTTTTTGCAATGGAATAGCCCAAGAAGATTTTTGCAAGGACGCAAAAAAAAAAAAAAAAGAAGAAAAAAGGGGGGAAGTTTCCATGTCTAAAAGTTATGAACAATTGACGCACTCCTCGCATATTGCACAAACAAAAAACATGTAAATGTAAAAAAAAAAATTAAATAAATTAGAAATTTAAAAAAAAATTACAATTTTTTCAATAATTGATTGCTATAATATTGTGAGCATTTTTTGTCTCTTTTTTTATTTTATAAATATCACTTAAAAACCCTCAAAGAGGTGTTTATTTTAATATTAAATTACGATTTTTTACTCAATAAAATTTATACTGATTTTAACATGTGAAAAAATGTAGTATCGGATGTACTACAGACCTGCAGGATCAGTCTGTACGTTTTTTTTCTCATAGAAGAAAAAAAATGAAAAAAAGTTTTGTCCCCACAAGGTGTACTGAATGATGTCAGTCGTCCCTCGCAGATCTCTTCGCCCGGTTTCTAGGGCTAGTCTTCGGTGATTTGCTGTTTCTTTTGGGACTCGTCTCAGTTTTGTACACCCGTTTGGGCATATCTGAAAAATAGAAAATGAGAATCAGCCTCAGTATATTTCATTGTATTGAAACATCACTGAAAAATACAATAAAAAGCCTGTTAGGTCGCTCAAAATCTTAACATCAAAACAAACTTTTTTTTAAAGAATTTTTTTTTTTATTTAGAATTTTTAATTTCAAAATCATGCATTATGCTCCATCCCATCGATCATGAGTCGAAGGAAATCGATAACGATTCAATCATGACAAAAATATAGCAGGCACTACGAAAATAAAACAAAACAAAAATCATGTGCATGTTTCTAGTGCTTGCGCATAACAAGAATGGGCAAATGCAAAGGATCCCAATTTAAAATTGTACACTGTGGCGAGATAAATTTCTACTATGCTTTTAGCCAATGCATCCACTATTTTCTAGGGATTTTTCCCAGGTCGAGAATAATTATTTCTTTCCAATATGTCAGGTTTATTGTGTATGTAAATGTCACCTGTTGACATATCACACACTATTTTGATTAGACAATATGCGATATGTAATATGTAAATAAATATGATATACACTCTCCACCAAAAATATCGCCTGTTTTACATAAATCAAAACAGTTCATAATTTTTTATTTATCTAAACAATTGTTTTTTTAATTATTTAAAATCACATTTAATACATACAAGTAACAAAAAAATAACCTCTGATTTTGCTGATTGCTTCTGCTTAATGTAAGTTCATAAAATAAGTTTTTTTTTCTTTTTTGGCAGTAGGAAAGATGGAACCTTTCCAAAAAGCTTAAAGGCGTAGAAACACGACAACCGAATTGCCTTTAATAANACCTATGAAGCTAAGGTCGCCATTAATTTGGAATCCTGCCAACTGGATGGGCTTTTGTGACTCTAAACTTGTGTTGCACGCATATTAAGCGAACGGTCAGAGGTCATGATCGACCCTAGAGCAAGAAAGGTTTTGACCATCCAGCCTCGAGAAATTGGTTTTCCTTCCTTCCTTTGTTTTGCAGTTAAATATAAATAGGGAGGGTCGGGAAAGCAAATTAACCAGAGAACCAAGCAAAGGGCAGACAAGTGGCATGTTTTGGCTTTCGTGTCAGAAAAACATTTTTATTTGATTTGTGCGTATATTCCTCGTCCATTAACAGAGCCCACTTTGAGCCCTGAAGATAATCTTGATGAAGATCGAAGCATTGGCACGATAAAGAAAATGTTTTTCTAAAACCTACGTCACACCAGACTGCATCTCACGATCTCCGAATAATCATTGATTAACGGTCACTAAAGACCACTCATTAACAGAGCATTTGTTTGAACATGTTACCAACGATACGAAATTGATCGCTTTAGAATCTTTACAAGTAATGTACACCAAGAGAAAACGTCGATAAATAGTTCGCATTTATGGGTAAAACAAGGGTGCGTACTGAACCCGCCCCTGTTTGCGCTCTTTATGCGGATGTTGGAATCGGGTATATCTTTAACATGCCGACTATGCCTGGGGAAAAGCATTTTTTTATTTTTTAAATGTCAGCAAATTCAACAGTAGCAGAATAAAGACTGATTATGCAACCTCGCACAATGCCATATATTTGTACTATTTATTCCAGTTTTTGGTGATAGCTTTTGCTTTTTTACAAATGTTATTCATGATTTGTTATATTGTATCTTGTATAACAAATAATATAATTTTTAATTTTTGAACACAAGATTTGAGATTTAAAAAAAGTCGATGTCATATTGGGCTGGTATGAATATTATGCAGGATTAGAAAAAGCAGTCAAAACTTGTTCTGAATTTTTATAAAAAATCTTTACATCTTTGCCAACGCGTAATAAGCCCTTTTGTTCTGCTGACATAAAAATCTTTATTTCGACTTGCAATAAAGCCTTAGAAGGCGTTTTTGGCTTCACCGCGATCTATAAAAATTTTACTCTTCAAGAAATGATCAAAATGCCTAAAAAAGTGGAAGTCTGTAGACGAGAGGTCAGGGGTGAATATAGAGGGTGTGGTAAGGTTTCATATCCTAACTCCTTAAGTTTACGCAGGGTAGGCATTGTGACATGTTCCCTGGCTTTGTCGTGAAGAAGAATCGGGGCCCCACAGTTTATCAATGCTGGACAAAGACGATGCAGTTTTCCATGCATATTTTGTATATTTCACGGGATTTTTTTTGGGTGTAGATTTGGTTTCAGAAAGTGTTCTGGCACTTCATCCTGTCCAACCGCTGACCTGTACTTCTCCATAATATAGAAACCATTTCTCATCACATATGATGATTTGATGGGGAAATGGATCATGGACTCAAGAGAAGAGACGTGCAAATTTCAAAGTGTCTATTTATTTGGGCTTCAGATAGTTTGTGTCGAGCTTTTTTACTTTACCAATTTGCTCCAGATGGCAAACAATCAACACTAACCTCTTCTGCGATTTCCCTTGTTGTCTTATGTGAATTTTCTTCAACCAACATTTTGAGTTGGTCGTTGTCCACAAACAGCCTACTGCGACCTTCCCTGTCTTCGAGATCAAACTCTCTAAGCATTCGCTAATGCTTCCCTCCCTCTGAACTGTATTGATGTTACATGCGGTTTGGGCCAATTTGAGGAAAATCTAGTTTGGACATACATATTTAATTTTGCAGGTCCTTACTCATAAAATTCAATATAAACTAAAATGAGATTGTGAGATGCAGTCTGATGTAACTTAGGTTTTAGAAAAACATATTAATGACTGATGATCACTGTTTTAACCATTGTAAGTAGTGAAGAAACAATGATAACTATGTTGATCTAAAAATGTAAAATATATTTGTTCTGCGTAGAGGCGTTAACTCACCTGAGGAAGGATTAAAATAAATCCGAAACGATAAAAACTGGTTGTGGTTTTTTTTTTTTTTTTTTTGAGATGACCTATTATCCCACCTTCAAGAAGGAAAAAATCATAAGAAAAATATTTTCTTTATCGTGCCGACGTTTTCATCTTTATTGAGATCAACTTCGGGGCCTGGGATTTATAAACATAGTTTAAATTTTATAAATACATGTAGGATGTGAAAAAAAATGAATTTACACAATGCTAGAAAATTTTAGATTAAAAAAAGAATTTATACAATGCTAGAAAATTTTTGGTTCAATCAAAGTATTTGTACTCAAAGTGTTTGTTTTCCGTGTAGATGTGTCATTCTTGTCTGTCGTGTTGAGAGTGGCAGTGAGATATTGATGTTTTATGTTTATATATGTTGGATTTTGAAGGGTTGGGGAGGGAAGTCGGGAATGGAAAGACATTTTTATATGAGGAGTCGGCTTCTTTAAGGTGAAAGGAGCCGACAGAGCCGACAATAGGATAAAAAGGGGGATGGTTCGGCCTGATTATCTTTTCAGGATTATATAGACAAGGATAATTAGGGAAAGGAAAGGCAAATTGTTGAAGAACGAACTATGTAGAAATGTTTGATGTGTGGAATGTGATGATAATATATGTATGTTATAGATATATATTATAAATCCCAGGCCCTTAAGATGATCTCAATAAAGATCGAAACGTTGACACGATAAAGAAAATGTTTTTCTAAAGCCTACGTCACACCAGATTGCATGTCACGATCTCCGAATAATCATTAACTAAACATCACACAAACTAAAAGTTTTGTGTGTAAAAGATAACAGTTAAAAGTATTTATTATAATACATAAATCAGATTTGAGGATTTGCTTATATGACAAGTATTTGCGAAAATAAAACAAATTTTCAAAACTTAATTTTGCAACAACCCAATAGATGGGATTCGAACCCATGGTCTTCACAGAACAGTACCCCGTTCTAAACCCATCACGCACATTTACTTTTTTTAAATCTCAAATCTTGTGTTCACAAATTATTAATTACAGAATGGAACTGAAACCGACAAATAAGCAGTATTTAAATAATATTATTGTAGAGTATAAACCATCAAATAATATCGAGATTTTCATATTGCGATATTTTTGATGGGGAGTGTAGGATTTGCATTTTAAACCATTTGGGATCCTTTTCCCATAAAACATTTACTACATTTCTGTGCTAAATGAAAATGTTAAAAAAAATAAAATTAAACGCAACTCTTTTCTATATATTTCTAACACTCCCTCACATTGTCCTCGAGACGCCTTTTTTGTTTTTGCGTCGCTTCTGTTTACTCTTCTTTGAACCTTGTTGTCCGTTTTCTGTAAAAAAACACATCAACCCTTCCAAGTAACAGTGTCTAATTTGTAATGCGGACTACCAAGACAAAAAAAAAGCCTGAAAAATAAAGAATCGGCGTATGGAAAAGTTTACTCACTGAAGCTCTGCAGAGTTTGCTTTGGGAGCCAATCATAGTCAATGCCGTCGTCATCGTTGGTACCAGTTTCGATCTGTTTCTTCGATGAGGTTGAAGACGATCCGACCCTCTTCTTACCAACGGAAACGAGGAACTGTTGTCCTACAACCAATGCCAAGACGGCACAAGCACTCAGGAACACATAAAGGAAGAACGTTTCTCCGTCTAGGCCTTCGTCAAGCTCGATAATGTTAACAGTTTCGTTGAAGACACCTTCGTAGTATTGGTTTCCGCCCTTGATAAAAAATAAATAATTAATTTCACTAGTTTCCGTGGTCTGCTTGACCAATTAATATCTATTTAATATCTAAATAATTAATTTTTTTTAACTTAATATTTTGAGTCTTTTACCAAGTCCCGGTATCTGAGGTTGATGCTGAGACCAAAAGGTCTTCCGGCGAATGCCTCCGCTGGTACAAAACTGTAAAAAAGTGTGGCTTCTTGACTCGGCTTAACTGGCTTCTCATAGCTGAGAGTCGAAAAGTTCTGAATGTAAAAATTGAAGTCCATTGGGTATCTGAACGAAGCATCGAGAGTCTCGAGGACAAAGTCCTGGGAGCCTTTGTTCTTGAACCCGACAAGGAACTCAACCAAAACGCCTCCAGGGAGATCTATAAAAAAGAGTTGATACATAAATTGTGTATTAGAAAAATTATGTAAAATAAATAGAGATAAATCACCGAGGAGTGAGCCAGTTTGCAGCGAAGGCTTTGTGAATAGTATGGTCGTATCGGCATCAGGCGAACCACCTGGTTTTTCCGGCGCCTCTTCTTCTTCGACGGCATCTTCTCCTGTTACGGCAGTCTCTTCATTTTCAACGTCCACCATCTCGTCGTCTACATCGTCTTCTTGAGCCCTAACTATCCCTGAAAAAAATTTAAATTAATACGATTGTTTGTCTATCAAAGATAAATTGACTCAATGATTCAATTTGGTCAAACACTTGACTAGTCAATATGAATAATTGTGCTCGTTAAAAAATCATAACACCTGTGTAATCGCAATGATTAGCATTTTTAATTAATTATGGCCCCTAACTTTTTTTTTTTTTTTTTTTTTTATTCCCACAGAATTGTACTTTGGCTAATATGCAACCTCATTAGGCCATTAAAAAATCTTACATACAGAAAAAACATATTTTTTTGGTGATAAATCTAGGGAGGTGGACTTGATTGTGCAATGAATGGTTTTTGTTTAACCTTTGTCAAAATGTAAAACAGTACAGTAAATTCAGAGATTTTGATTGATGGACGAAGTCAGAAGTACAAACCGGTGAGAAGTTACAGAAATGTAAATTGGTACAGTTAAATGGGATCAGGTGAAAGTTGATGAATTAACAATGATGGTGAAAAATTCACCATTCCTGGAAAAAAATTCTCGTCTGATTTAACATAGCCAATGACAAGAAAAAAATGAAATTACAATAGAATATTTACAAAATTAGAATCATTAAATTATAAATTATAATCAATACGGTGATGATTTTAATGATCCAAGTCAGAATTACCAATGATGATGGTAAGTTTCAATTAAATTTCTGTCAAAAATGTTAAAGGGTGCATTTGAATTCAGGTGAAATTCGATGATGATTTACGACAATTATTAATGCAGAATTACAAACCTGTGTTGATCAAATTTCGGTAAAAAAATGTACGGTTAAACTTGTCTGGGTGAAAGTCAATGAATTTTTTGAAGAAAAGGATGAATTGTAATATTATTTTTTCCAATTAATTAGTCTTTTTATCTAAGGTTTTTGGTTGAGATGAAAAATTAGTGTCACGAGCGGTATTCGAACCCATGACCTTCGGCTCAATTCGCCACTGCTCTAACCACTTGAGCTATCGTGACTTTAATCGCCTCAGACACCAACTCCCCATCTCAACTGACAACTGTTCGAATTTTCTCTCTTTTTGCCATATTTTCAAATGTCGTGTAATCAGGGTTCGATTCTCAGCGACTTATGAAGTGCCCATAGGAGCTGTTAGTGAAGTAATTAATTCTTTTTAATTATTAAAATAACCAATATTTCCATAGTGGTCACAATGACCATATTAATTATTCCAATTAATTATTCTTTAAGGTTTTTGGTTAAGATGAAAAATTAGTGTCCGATGGGGTGTTGGGTGTCCGAGGGGATTGAAGTTATGATAGCTCAAATGGTTAGAGCAGCAGCGCACTGAGCCGAAGGTTGTGGGTTTGAATCCCGCCAGTGACACTTACTTGGTCATCTCAACCAAGATCTTACATAAAAAGAATAATTAATTCTATTTATTTTTATTTTTTGATCTCACAAGGGGTCTAATAAATATTTTACTAATTAAGCCATTTATATCCATGCGAACCACATCTGATAAAAGCAATGAAAACAGACAAAACAACTAGCACTGCTCTTATCGTTGATCGACGTACAAGCGTATCACAACGTATCGCTCCAATATAAACACCTGCATATAAAATGATATCGTTTTCTTTGTTTCGCTAGTATCACCACTCTTATTGTTTAACACAGTTCCAACATAAACGTACCCTGGGATGCTTTCAGCAGCCAGGTTTCACAGTGTCCAAGTACCCACACGAGCTTAGGTCAGTATGAAGTGTCGCATTACTCACATACCATGAGGCACCTGTTAACCACAGAACCCGTTTCACTTGAGACTCGCTCTCTTACGCCCTTATCTCACAGACAATCATCTCGATTAAAACCGCTTATGCACAGCATTCCAATTTGATCATGATCAGCAAAAAATGGAGGATTATTCGGAAACCGATTTCTTGAACAATTTTTCTATTCAGGACATGTCCTACATATATATTTTTTTAAACAATTTAAGATTTAATGAATAAATGAATGATTTAATTAGGCTTGTGATTAAATAATTGGTATGTATTGTGTCAAATGTGGATTATCTTTTGTAGGATGTTAGAGAATAGCTGGGAGAGATGACTTTCTAATGGAAGGTGAAAAGTTTAAGAACTATATTTAAAATAGTGTCCTAGTTTATTTTTTTACGGTGTGGGATATATTTAACTTAAAAAATATACAATTTAAATCTACGGTGGATTTTTTTAAATTTGAGTTTTTTGTAAGTTTTCGAGGTGTTAATGGTGTGCTACTTACCTGGGCTTAGGGTAAAGACTATCGCCGGGACGGCGAGAAGCAGGATCAGGAAATACTTCATATTTAACTTGATTTTCCACTTGGGCTTTGTACAAAAAAAAGTCCTTGTTCGAATGGTCGATTTTTCCCGTCTGGCCTCTAACTGATGCCCAGTCGCATAACACTTCTACAACTTGGTCCTGCCAGTCCAACTCCTGGCTGGATTGTATTTACGTGGCTACCATGGCACTGCACATGGCAGGATACGTCAACGGGATCGTAACAGCAACTGGGAATCGGTCTTTCGCCGTGAAAACGGCAAAAATGTACAAAAAACGCGAACATCCGTTGTCTCCTTGTTTAAATAAATTTTTGACGATTTTTCACACGTTATTGTTTAAATATTAGTAAATTATTTAATTTATTGGGAACAAGAGCGCAGCGTGGCGACGCCTAGTCGAACTTCGCATGCAAGGAAGCAGCATGTTTCTGATTTAATCATCACAAAATCATGTTCTTATTCAAGTCAAACTCGATCCATTTATCATCAAATTTCTCATATTTAGTAAATTTTAAATTGAGTTGAAAAGTTTTAATTTGACACCTCATTGTCTCACACATACATTAAAAGTGGGGTAAATAAGTAGTTTGACTTAGTTTAATTGTGAAACCATTATTTACAAACATTAAGTTTATAACACATTAATCAAATTATAAACAAAAATTCTCTGAGTAGAACCATCATTTACAAAAAGTGTTGCATTGTCCCATGTACATTTAATGAGAAGTGAAGTAGTTATTACTCAAGGTAAGGAAGAAAAGCACAATTCATATACACAGAGCATCATTCTCAGCATTTCTTTTTACTTTCAGTTGGCAATTTGTGACAATAATTTATCATCATGACGAGGTAAAAAAACGTTTTTAAAAAGAGAAATAATATTGGGAAAGGAAATGTGCTTTGTCGGACAACTGGTATCTCAAACCAGACTCTAGGTGGTAACAATCCCGTCAGTCGTTTAATATATGCAATTCAAAAATTAAAATAAAATACGTCTACTTATCAGAAATACAATTTATTTCTACCAAAATGTACAGAAAGACTTCTAGTATTTTTTTCCAGAAAAAATAGATTTTTTTAAATTTTAGCGAGCTTCTCCCCTTAACAAACGTCTTTACAAATCGAAGCTTCTAAACTGCCATGCATGTATTTTATATACTTTATATTTTCAATATGGTCAAAGAATGACTGTGAAAGGAATGGAATTCAGATAATTTATAACTCGCCTAGAAAAATTTCATATGGCATTCAACCACGCGCGCATATTTTACTACACTAAATATTATAAGAAGAAAAATATAACATTTTTATCTTATCTATCTATCCCTATTATAATTTTAATTTAATTACATATTTTACCTTATCTATTATAAGGTAAATAGACGTATATAAATTTATCCATTTAATTGTAGGTATAGTATAAGAAAAAAAGATAAAAAATAAAAATATACAGAAGTAACAAATAAACTTAACAAAAAGTAATAAAACAGTTAGGAATAAAAACTGTTAAAAGTTATGTTATTATTATTATTTTTATAATAATCCTTGATAAAAGTCAACCTCATATAACACCATAGTTCCAAGTCTCATAATTTTGTTTATGTTAGTATTTTTTATGTGGTTGTGTTGTTGGAAGGATGTTCAAAAGGGAATGTCACTGCAATTCTATTATTATCGAAACTAATTGCCTCATTTATAGTTTGAAAGGCAACAAGAAGAAAAATGTAAAAATTACATTTTTTCTTCCTCTTCTTTGGTCGGTAAATTATATCCTATGTTAATTATTTACTTTCTTAAACTGTTAGTACATGCTATAAAGTACTTACTCAAAGAATTCATAATTACTACACCTCTTATTTTCGATAATTAATTTATTTAGAAAATGTTTTCGATGATGCATTTTCCTTATGTTTGTCCAGAATTAAAACGACTCAGATAAAATAATTAACAAAATATTGATTAATTTATGTATTTCATAAATTATTGTATTTTATAAATTAATATGTACTATTATAAAAATTAAAATATTGTTCATTGAAAAACTTGTTCAGTGATCTTGTGATTCTTTTAACAACTTTACACAATTATAATTAGTTTTATAACTGGTTTTATTGTTGATATTTATTTTATGTCTGATGTTTTGTTTTTTGTAAGTTTATTTTATTAGTTTTCTAAAAATGTACTGCTGGGTTTTATTTTTCACAAGTGGGGTGTAAAATTCAAAATATGGCGGAAACAAAAAGATGGCGTTTTAGTCGTTTGTGAAAATTATTGATATTTTATCAGTTTTTAACTTTTCCAACAATTGTTTTTATTATTTATTAATGAATTAATTTTTTCTTATACGTACCGTTAAATTTTTTACCATGGAAACGAGTCGATTTTAGTATATCAAATTGACTTTTAAGCGTTTGCCGATCGTGTGAACCGAGAGTCGGCCATTTGCCTCGAGCACGTGTTCCCACTTCGCAGGTCTCGTCCAGTTTAGTCTCGCCAGTCTCACAGGCTCAAGAATAATTAAAAAATGGACAAACCAGTCGTTTTGGCCCGCGTTATCAAAATCCTCGGCAGGACCGGATCCCAGGGCCAGTGCACCCAGGTGAAAGTCGAGTTCATCGGGGAACAGAACAGGCAGATCATAAGAAACGTCAAGGGACCCGTGAGGGACGGTGACATCCTCACGCTTCTCGAGTCCGAAAGGGAGGCCAGAAGACTCAGATAGTCGATTCCAGGTAAGTTTCAAAATTCATTTCGTCTAATATTTATCCAAAAACAGAGTTAAAAAGTTTCCCAGCATTCATTCATAACTTAACCATCTCTTCCGCCAACTTCCACCTTACCAAATACTCATTTATTAATATTCACGTAACACTATCTTTATTTCCTTTCTTTCTTTTTAAACTTAATAAAACAATCTTAAAACCAATAAAAACCTCAAATTGTTGGCTGCTTGTACTGTAATCCAATTTTAGTTAAATTATTATATTCTAAGATGGCCGCTTTAGCGTTCAAGACATGTTCCTGGCATGGACGCATTACATTGGGTAATTATTTATTAATTTCTCGAATATACAAACCGTCTTATAACAAAATAAAAAGGTATTCTTTATATCGAAATGACAGAATAGTCGATTTTCATTTACTACCTTGGTATCAGTGCGTTTGGATCTAGTAGTTATATGCATGGAGATAATTTCCTATTTTGCATAACATTTAATTGTTTCTAGAAAACAATGTAACATTTGTAATTGCACTACTGTTTCAAACAGTTGTTAGATCTGTAAGTTGATGGTTGTCCGTCATATCTGATGGCCGACTCCGGTTTCATTCTTCATATATGGCAAGTTGGCTGACAAATCAACTTGTACCTGGATCTGGAAGTTGGATGAACGACTCACTTTTTAGTCTGATGGCCGACTTTGGTTTCATTCTTCACATCTGGCAAGATAGCTGACTGTGTTATAACTTGTACCGGAGACCTGATAGTTGGACGATTGACTCACTTCCTAGTCTAATGGCCGATTCATTTCATTCATCTTAACCAGTAAGTTGGCTGACCTTAGGGTGGCTATATGCGGTATTTTCGATATGCTTGTCATGGAATTTGCCAAATAGCGTGCCTATGTGTACACACATGCGGAGTTTGTGTTTTGGAAACAGCAAATATATATTTGCCAAATCTAACTATATTTATTTTATTTTTTATTTGTAAAAATATATGATTTGTGTTAGAAGTTTTCCAAATTATTGGTTCTGTTTTGTAAACATTGAGGAACTCCAAAACAGTTGTGTTGGGCTAATCCATTCCTAATAAAGAGCTGTTGTTATTGTGCAAATTAATACATCTTTGGGGGGGGGGCGTGGTAGCCGAGTGGTTAAGGCGTCAGACTCTCAGCTAGTAGATCCCCACCGTCGCCTCTGGACTTTTTCTGACGCCTAAGGGGACCGGTGGCCGCAATTGAAAGAAATTGACATGGCACTCATCAATGGAAGGGGCGGGATCGGATCTCAGAGACCCTGAATTTGGTCCCAACCACCTTCAAAAATGAGTTTCTTCGATGGAAGAACCCGGTACAACAAGGGCTCAAGTTCACATTTGTGTGCGAGCCCTCTCTCAAAATATGGAGCCAGGGATAAGTACAATAAGCTGTACAGCTCAGCTGCAGTGCTCAGGAGGGAACTCTTCCAGTCCCTGGTATCCATTGTAAAAAAAAAAAAAATAATAAAAAAACAATTTTACTAGTTAGGAATCATTTATCAATGAAAAATAAATAGCATTAAATAGAAGATTATTTGGAGATCAATTGGCGGTCTAGTGTGATGTAGGTTTTAGAAAAACATTTTCTTTATCGTGCCAATGTTTAGATCTTTTTTGACATCATCTTCAGGGCTCAAAGTGTTTGTTTTCTGTGTAGATGTGTCATTATTGGTTGTCGTGTTGAGAGTGCACACTAAGTTGGTCTCACTTATTTCCTATTATTTGTAACATCGTTGGAAATTGGCAGATTAACGGGTGGTCGGTTAATTTTCACTTCCTAGTCTGATGGCAGACTCAACGTTCTTTCTTCAGATGTGGCAATAAGTTGGCTGGTCTCTCTTATTTCCTATTATTTGTAAAATCTTTTAAAATCGACAGATTAACGGGTGTTCGGTTAATTTTCACTTCCTAGTCTGATGGCAGACTCAATGTTCTTTCTTCAGATGTGGCAATAAGTTGGCTGGTCTCTCTTATTTCCTATTATTTGTAACATCTTTTAAAATTGACAGATTAACGGGTGATCGGTTAATTTTCACTTCCTAGTCTGATGGCTGACTCAACGTTCTTTCTTTGGATGTAGCAATAAGTTGGCTGGCCTCTCATATTTCCTATTTTCTGTACATCTTTTAAAATTGACCGATTAATGGTTAACTTTTACTTCATAGTCTGATGGTGGACTCACTCTTTTTTATTCGGTTCTGACTAACTGATGCCTAGTGTATGTATGTATCTGATTGTTTGATACAACGTCTTTTGGCCATATATTTATTCCATTTTTGGTCCAACATTGTTTTAAACAGTTGTCAGATTCGACAGTTGGATGGACACCCTCATTATGATGGCTGAACTATACTTCTTCGTATTTGGCAGTCTTACTTCATAACTTGAATCCCATTATTTGACAGTCAAATTTATGAATGCTTATTTTGTACTTTGTGCAACACAACTCTCTCTTCCTACACTGTAGTGACCGAATGTTCATTTGGATTAATGGAAGCAAATTAGCTGCTTTCTTAATACTTTCATATTTAGACGGAATGCTGAGTATTACTTACTTTAGATAGTTTGAGATCTGATAATTGAACTTTTGTTTCCATCTTTTTGTCAGATGACCATAGATAGATTTCCTCAAGTGAATCAAGTCTTGATCCTATTTGAGTCAAATTTTGGAAACATTCGTGCCCAACAATTAGAGGGCTTGTCTCACTTTTTTAATTTTTATCCGATTATTTTGAACTGAAGTATCCTAACAACTAGCCATAATTTGTATTACTGCTTAATTTTTTAAAATCACATAGTAATAAAACATTAAAATAATGTTTTTTTTTTCTTCTCTCTTTTTTTCAGGACTGTTACCTTTAAAAAGATCCGACCAACACCTGGACACTACATCAAGATAATTTTTTATTTAAATGTACTATTTCTAAAATACAATTTTGTTCTAAGATAAATATTTTTGTCCCATGTCTTTTTTTTTGTTTTTGAATCCTAACAATATAAATGTTAAATTTGTTTTAATTATTTGTATTTATTGTATAATACTTCTTTAAATTGGGTTAATTTTAGTTAGTTACTTTTTAAGATTAGCTTACTGTTACAATTAGAATTGGCGGTATTTCAATAAATATAGAGAGGAGAAAAAAAATGGTAAAGCTCTAATTTATAATTTATATTACATTTAGTTTATAATTTGCGAGATTTTTTCTGTCAGCTTGCCGAGCCGATCTAGGCGTTTGACCTTGGCCTGATACCTCGTCCCATTCCTGTTTCCTTTCGCTTCAAGGATCTCTGACACTCTGAAAACGGGGTGTTTATCAAGAGATCGATTTTACTAATATAATACCGTACTCACATCTTAGCTGCCTTTTCGACTGTGTCTTCCGGACCAACTATCAAAACGTGCCCTCCTTCTTTCTCCCCTATGGTCAAGAGGTGGAGCGTATCCTACTCAAAATTTTTGTTAGTGATTCTCTCATAATTTGTACTTAATAAAATAAAAATTAGAATAATTGACCTACAGCATCGTCCATTTCTCTTACGACAAAATACATATAGTCCATATCACCTCCTGGCCTGAAATACAAATGTTTAGGACAATTAGAGGGAAAAAACTCAGCAATAAATTTCTTTTATACTTGTGATGTATAAAATATTTTGGCCTTGGATCCTTAGCTTTGAACAGCCTGATTTCAAAGCTTGCAACTTCTTTCAACAGGTTCTGCACCCTCTAAAAACGAGCAAAATTATAAAAATAAACCAAATTTTTACAAATTGTTTTAATACTTTGATATTAACTTTTTTTAATGCTGTTTATTTATTCTAGGAAATATACCTTTGCTAATGTCTTATTTGTTGCTAGGAGTTTATTGATCATTTCTTTATGTGAATCTGGATTACACCTGTCGGGGAAAATGGAATAAATTAACAAAAAATATTGGTTCTGATCCACTGAAGATTTTTGACCGTATGGATCGTTGAGTTATAACTAATCTGTTATCTAGTTTTGTTATATATTCAAATAAAAACATTTTGCAATATTTTTCTAATTATTTAATGATTAACTTAAAGGAGGAAAGATGAACCTATGTATGTTCAGAAATATTCTTCCTTAGGTTGTTTTATTTTTGGGAAAAGTTCTAGTTTGAACAAATAAATAATGTCAACTGAAGTGTTCTGCTTGTTTTGATCACCCGCGATCATCCTGAATTTTCAAAATTGATCAGAGATGATATTGCACCCAAAACAGTTTTAATCAGCCTGAGCTAATAAATTATTCTTATTTGTATAATAATTAAACTTTTTTGAAAATTGACAAGTTGAATTAAAATCGACCATATGGTTCAAAGATGAATTTTTTTATTTGCTTTTGATGTGGTATACAATATTGAACTGAGGACTTATAAGGTTATATAGGAGCCACCTCTTTATGACCTGTGCACCGCGACTGCTGGTCTATTGCGCACTCCATTTTTTCCCTATTTAGAACTCATTAAGCTCAAGGCTTTTCAGTTTTCACTAGACTCCAAAGCTTTTTCAACGGCTCCTATGTACTTCAGGCCCTGGGTTTTCATCTCCCAGGATTAGGAATCAGCCTAGGTAGGCCTTCGCACCAACAGAGGACATGTTCCACTGTTTCTTCTTCTTGGCAATATATGCACAGGCTTGTTTCTGCCACTCCGAGTCTATAAATATGCTTACAGAGACAGCATTCAGTGTCCAGTCAGTATAAAAACTAGTCCTAGATTTATTAGTCCTGTCGTTAGTTTCTGTGGTGGTCCTTTGATAAAATTTTTCGCATGCCTGTCTTTTTTTTTAATTTTTTTATTGGCCTTATGATCTTGCATATTAGCCATGGTACGAATTCTTGTGTGTTCAAATTGGGGGTTATCGGGAAAAAAGGGCCAGAGGCGACGGTGGGAATCGAACCCACGACCGCGGCGTGAGAGTCTCTCATGCTAACCACTCGGCTACCGCGGTCCCCATGCCTATGTCTTGGGCTACATTACCATTGAGTGGAGGACTTATTAATCCATTGTCTAATGGATCTGCATTTTTGGCAGTTTGCTGTGCCACAAAAGGGTTCAGGGCCAATAGGTGTCCTCAATTGAACAATCCTTTGCCAATTTATCAGCCTCTTCGTTAAACCTCTGCCCACTGTGCCCTGGCACCTAGACAAGGGTAATTTTTTTTTTTTTTTTTTTCAATGTGTGACAGGGCTCTAATGCAGTCCTAAAAGACTGGACTTTACCACCAATGCAGCAATTGCCTTCAGTGCTGCCTGGATGTCCCAGGAGATGGCTATACTTCTGTTGACAATCCTCAGCCTTTTTATCTCCCTGGCAGTGTTCAATGGCCACAGTTTCCATTTGAAAAACGGTGGCGAATTGCCGAAGGCATATATGAATTTTAGTCCTTGGTTTATTTCCATAAATGCCAGCTCCTGACCCACATTCAGTTTGGAGCCATTTATAAACCAGATATGGTTGGCATTAACTGGGGTCCCTTTCTCGCACAATGCTCTAAGAGGTATTTTGATTAGAATTTTTTTTCTCAAAACTGAATTTAGGGGGTCATGGCATTCGTAGGCATTCTCAAACTTCTGTCTAGCTGAAGCTCCCTCGAAACCTTAGTTGCTCCTTGTTATGTGAGTATTGGAGCCTGTGCCTGCAGTAGCCTATGAATTGTGGTTCTGGCCTCTCTGGATAAAGACGTGTAGTGGTGGTAGATACAGCAAGGATTTCCAAAGCAGCCATAGGGGTTGTTCTCATTGCCCCAGTGGTGCTCAGACTTGGCAACCTAGAACTTGATTGTTTGACAGATCTGTTTTTGGCAGTATGCTGCAAAAGGGCTGTCATCGAACTTGGCCAATTTATTGGTCTCTGCTCTGGTACAAGGGTGATTTTTCCCCCAATGACTGAAAAGGCCTTAAGTCATAGTAAATCATAAATTGGTAGTTGCCTTTAGTGCCACCTGGCTGTCCTATTAGATTCTTCCTCTATTCTTCTCTAGTATTCTTTTATTGGTAATACCCAGCTTTTTGACCTCCCTGTTATGTCTAGTCACTGGGTGAAAGACAATGGCACAGTGTCCGCTTATATGAAATCTAAACTTTGGTTTATTTCCATAGAAACCAGCTCGATACTTGGACTTAGGGTAATCTGTATACAAGATATTTTTAACTAGTCTCTCCAGAACCTTGTCCGCCTGGAATTTTTCTCAAAGCTTTGGAGCCTGTGCATTGTGGCTCTAGCCTCTCCCTGAATAAAGATGTAGTAGTGGTAGATCCTGGACTTTCAGTTGGATTTCGTTCTCTTTGCCTCAGTAATGCCCTGGCTAGTTCTCTAAGCAGAAGATAATACTAGAGAAAAAATGCTAATTTATTATCCTCAAATTACTTTTAAGCTTTTTTTTAATAAAGAAAGAAGAGGTGCTCCCAGTCGGCTATCAGAACAAATTTTCAAGGGGACTTTTCTCATTCAAGTACAATTTTCTGGTTTATGTGTGGTGATTAGTGACTTTTAATCGATAATTATTCAGAAATCGTGAGATGCGGTCTGGTGTGATGTAGGTTTTAGAAAAACATTTTCTTTATCGTGCCAACGTTTCGATCTTTATTGATATCATCTTCAGGGCTTGGGATTTACAAACGTTGTTTACATTTAATGTTAAATGTAAACAATGTTTGTAAATCCCAGGCCCTGAAGATGATCTCAATAAAGATCGAAACGTTGGCACGATAAAGAAAATTGTTTTTCTGAAACCTTCATCATACCAGACCGCATCTCATGATTTCTGAATAATTTCTGGTTTATCTTCTTATTCAGAACAATGTTTCTGGGGCTTTTATCTGTTCAAAGATGATGACATGAAGTGTAAGTGAAGTATAAAATAAATTTTTTAAACTGAAGGTATGCAAATTTTTGTATATTTAACACCCTGTATAGCGTTGTAATAGAAAAATATAAAATTTATACTTACTTAAGTAATAAGTTGAAGTCCAGCTCCTTTTTGTACATCTTGCCGTGCGATTTTAAGACACGGCATCCGACTAGAAATTGCAAATTTGTCTTCCCCTTTTTACCCTTCTCCGCCCCAAGGAGTTTTATCGCCTTAAAAAATATCAGTTTAACAATCTTCAACAATTTTCAATGGTTTTAAGTTAAATGTGATGGTTATTTCTGTTTTATAGTGATCAGCATTGACAAAGTTTTAAATTGGTTGTTTTTAATTACCTGAAGCTGGCTCAGGTTGGAGACATGAGTGCCGCAGCACATGTTCGCCTCGATATCTTTTATCGTGATTATTCTCACGCTGCCTTTGTGGTCTTTAGGAAGGCCGCGCGTCCTTGTCTGCAAGGTAATAAAATTGTAAAAAAAAAGTTTATATAGAGATTGAATAAAAATCACCTGGTTCAGCTCGATGTCATTCTCATCGAGTATGCTGACCGTAACAGGGACGCCATTTCGTATTTTTTCATTCACAGCATCCTCCAGTTGTTTGATTTGCTCTTCTGTCATCTCCGGTGTGTCTGTTATATCAGTTTTTACTCATGTAAACGTTCTCATTGACTTTACATACTTTCGTACCTAGTTCGATGAATGAGGTTTCTGCACCGAGGGACCAGGACGTAGTGGCATAGCCGAACATGATGTCAGCAAGTGCGGTGATCAAATGTTGTCCGGAATGCTGTTGCATGTGATCGAGACGGCGCTCCCAGTCGACGACCTGCTTCACATCTTGGCCCTCTTGCAGCGGGAACTCTACGATATGCACCGCGTCCTGCCCTCGCCTTAGAACATGTACAACTGGAATGCCATCAATCGTTCCATAATCACACGGCTGGAAAAACAACCTCATATACTAATTCATACCAAACAATTAAAAAAAAATTTCTCACCTGTCCTCCTCCCTCAGGAAAGAGGATCGTGTCTTTTAAAACCACCTCATAACACTTGATCTTTTCTTTTTTACCATTTGACAGCTTTTTGAACTCTGCCGGGGTGCAAGAGACGACAGAAGAAGTGTACTGGAGTATAAAAAATTTATTATCACAGCAAGACAAGAGTTTAAGTTGAATAAATCCTTAATAAGAAAACCCACCTCTTTCTGGAAACTGTCCCTTTGGCAGGCGAAGACCATTGTTAACGCCCAGGCCAATTTATTATTATTATTTAATTTATTATTATTCGGATTTTCAAGTACCACAGGGAAGACTGAAAAGGGTAAGCAGTTTTTAGTACTGTTACAAAAATCGGAACAGTTTGGCATCTGTGCAGTTTGTAGCGCCCCTGTGTTGTACTGGTAGTATCAGTCATAAAGGTGTTCCTTTAAAAAAATCAGCCTAATGATACACTTTTATTATGTTGAATTTCCTCTCAATTAATTTCGATTGATACTGAAAACATCGATTTTCTGCTTGATTTGCTATGAATGATCCGATTTAGTACCCAGAACCCTTAAATGACTGGTCTATGAAGAATCGAATCACCTCTTAGAACTTTAAAGAGTATTGACTTAAGGACGATCCGATTTACCTCTCAGAATCTTTAAACCACTCTGGCCTACGAAGATCCGAATCACCTCTCAGAACCTTTAAACCACTCTGGTCTCTGTATTCCGAATCACCTTCAGAACCTTTAAACGACTTCGACTTACGAAAGGTCCGATTCAGCACCTAGAATACTCGAACGATTCTCGACATAATGATCCGATTTTACTAATAAACGACCTAGGGCTTTGAACTCTCTCTCTCTCTCTCTAAACGTTTACCTAATTTATCTTATTATTTTTCTCCATCTTTCCTCATGTTGTCACATACCTTTTTCTCCTCTTCCTACCTCTTTCTTAACTATTTTCTCACTGTCTGTTTCACTACACACATTTTCTTATCTTTAATTTATTTTCTTCAGTTATTCACAAATCTTTCTTTCTTATCTCTTTGTTTATAGTTACTGTGACACTGTGTCATCTTTTCTTTGGCAACATTTCCTTCTTTTTCGGCTCATTTTATTTTGTTTTCTCTATCAACCAATCTTCCGTTCTCGCTCATTTATATTTTGGTTTAAAAATGAAGACAAAAATAAGCCGGGAGAACGAAGGAAATGCCTTACAATAAGGCGAATTCTTGTGCGTCACGACATAAACGATTAGTGCTATTATGAATGATCATGAGTAAACATGGAATTGCCAAATTGCTATTTGCCATTGATGCCAAATTGTATAATTTCGAACCGGGGTCGTTTCCGTGTCCACGATTAGGACGGGGGCAAATCCGGTGGAAAATAGAAGAAGACTAAGAAGTAGAAGTGGCCAATTATCTAAAACAATCGTTCCATCTCCGGGGCTCGGCTTTTGTTTATTGTCAAGTACAATTAAGGCCGCTCGTTAAAGGGAGAGGTGATGCGTGATACTGACGGCAAGTCGTTTTTGTACCATTGACTCACCCGAGGTACAGGTGTTGTGTCACGGTTCGCAGGGTGCAGCAGGTGGCCCATCCAAGGAGAGACAATTTAAATTGACTAGAGATCTTATTTTCGGTAATTGCCACCTTTTCACGAAATCTCCACACAAAAGGCGAATCTGATTTTTTTTGACGGACAAAACGTTTTTAATTTTGTGCCCAAGTCCGTTCATTTTTATATTTTAAAGCATAAATGAATTCTAAAAACTGATAAGAAATCTACCAGATACTATAAAGCATTACATCCGTGTCATGCGGGTTTTGCATCCAGACTATCTCAAGGCAATTTATTCACGCCCGAGGTTTATTTTTGACAATTTGGTCCTCTTAATTTCGCTGTATTTCTTTTGTTTGCACGAAATCTTCTTCAAATAGAAGATCTTCGTGATATTTTTTTCCAACGGAGAGTTTTTTGAATTGAATATGCAAACTTGTAAAATAATTTTTTTTTTTACTTCATTTATTTGTATCTACAATTGTACATGTATTATATACAACCGGCAGATTGGATTTCAGATTATGTGTTTGGCATTATGGGCGTTATAGAGAAAGCTACCCATTGGCAGACCCTCTGGATTAATGAAATGATATTAATCATTTAAGAGGTCTCTTATCCATATTCTTTTCAGACGTTTACGTGGTAATTGTGGGGATTGGAGTAATCGTATTTGTGTGTTGGTGTGATTTTGTAATTTACTATGAAAACGTCTGTAATATGTTTTGATGGATGAAAAAACTGTTGGGATTTGAGGATCTCTGTGAAGTGTATTATTGCTTACATAAAAAGGGGCAGAAACAATTAATCTCAAAATTTTGGATTGAAAACTTTGTAATCTTTGAATATTGGAACACTTCGCCGATCCATATACTTGGCACCCGTACATCCAAATAGGTTTGAGTAGGTGTGTTTATGTCGAAAGTTTTGATTTTAATGGTAATTTTGATTGTCGGTTGAGTAGGTAATAAAGAATTTTAAATCGTTTGTTCAGTGTGTTTTTTTAATCGTGTGTGTGGATTCCAAGTTACGGAGTGTAAAGGTGTTATGTTGTGACTTTAAGGGATTAAACTTTATTTTCCAAAGATTGCTCCATTTTTCAGTTGTTGATATGTGGTTTTGTAACATGAGTGAAGCTTGTGTAGAAGAGAGATGGCTTGTTAATATGGCGGTGTCATCTGCGTATGTGGCGGTGAGTGTATTCTCATTTGTGGGCATATCAGAAGTAAAAATTGTGTACAACAGCGGAGCGAGTATTGACCCTTGTGGCACACCTGCAAGCACTTCTTCCATCCCAGAAGTCTCCGTATCCTGGTTTACTGCGAAAAATCTCTCTTTAAGGTATGATTGTATAATCAGATAATAGGCCTGGGGTAAAAATAATTTTAATTTGTATAATAATCCCTAAAATAAAAAAATAAAAAAATAAAAAATGACTTCCGTAGTTATCACTGGGTTCGTTTACACTCGAGTTTTTCCCAGGCCAGACCAGTTTTAAAAACCAACTAGGAAATTAATTAATTATTTTTTAAAATATGATTTTCTGGCTTCGTACATAATTTGTGACCGAGTGACGTAGTAAGGCAGGTTGAAATATACAGGGTGTTCGGCTACTCGTGTTACAAACTTTGCCCGTAGATTCTACATTCAAAATGGAACCAAAAAGTCTCTAAATCTCAACAGTTTCGGAGTTATTCCACTTTTTCTATTTTTTAAGATTTCACGATCTTGCTTCAAATAAACAGTGATAACTCCAAAATTAAAAGATTTTAGACAAATCCGCAGATACTATTGGTGGCAACTGCGTGAAATTTCCAATAAGATGTGATAAATACTAAACTTTTAAACAATGGTGAATAAGCGTTGTAGTAGCCAGAATTTTGAAATTTTTTTTTTCAAAATTGAAAAACTTATTTGGTGATTCTAAACCTCTCTTTCCAAACCTAGAGACCAGCGAATTTCAGGAAACGTACTCCATTTAATATCCTTTTTTCCATGTAACTCTTTTTTAATTTTGTGTAGAGATTAGTGACCGTTAATCGATAGTTATTCAGATATCGTGAGATGCGGTCGGGTGTGATGTAGGTTTCAGAAAAACATTTTCTTTATCGTGCCAACGTTTCGATCTTTTATTGAGATCATCTTCAGGGCTCAAAGTGTTTGTCTTCTGTGTAATTGTGCCATCCTTGCGTGTCGTATTGAGAGTGCCCAATTATTTTTTTTTAATTACTTTTTTCAAAGACGAAGAAATTGATGAAGGAAAGGAAAAAACCGAAAAAAAGGAAATTTTGAATGAATTTATTAACCTTTTGTTAATTTGGGTTCGAAACCGAAGAAGTGCAAGTGTTTACTTTTTTACCAACACGACTGCAATTTTCTTTAAATTTTCCACCTTACCAATCCGTCTTTTTTTACTTTCCTTCATCTATTTCTTCATCTTTATGAAGTGAAAAATGACAATTTCTATAAGTTTATTGGCGCTTATGAACTATCCGGGTTTTTCGATGGTGCCTTCTCCCATCCAGTTCAGAACGACCGAAGCCGCCCCTTAAAATGAACAAGTTCTTACAGAGTGGCAAATGGTTTTTGGTTAAAAAAAAGTCCTGTCTCATAAATTGCCCTTTTCAAACTGCAACTATATGGACATCTATTGCTAAAAAAATCGATTTCAATTATTTTCGGACACCAAGACCGCCAAGTAATGAGACAGGAGAAACAAAGGCAATTAAAGTCACCGATTTAAATAAAAATCATAGTGAATACCCATTCACTGAGAAAAATCGAAGAAAAAAATCGTAGGTCAATCTTTCATTATTAAAGACACAAAAAATTCTCTAAAACTTCTCACCGACAAACTGCAAACTTACAGTTAATACATTTTTTGGAATGTACATAAACAGAATTTCATATATACAAATTAAAAGATGGAAAAAATAACAAGATTTGTTTTAAAAGGTTTAAATTTCTCTTCCCCTACAGCAATAATCGTACAGGAATTAAGGAAAAAATGCTACAAAGTAGTTATCCGCATTATCATTTGCATCATCGCGCCTAAAATTACCACTGAACATGTTTTTCGTTGATATTGATTGAAATACACACAAATTATACACATAATTTCTTTGGACCAAAATAAAAGTTGAGGAACCGTTTAAATGGCAATAAATTGTGCAATGCAAATTGTAAGAAAGAAAAGAAATTTTTCATATCAATATGTGCATTATATGAAATAAGCATAAATCGTTATTCAAGAGATACAAAAAAAAAAAAAAATAAATAAATGTTTTGGTGTGTTGGCTAACAAAAGTGTTTTACAACGCAGAATATTTTAATTTGGTATGATCTAAAAGATAAATGAACAAAATATTGCTTTTGTGTAAATTTTAACGAATATCCTGTTAGCAAAGCAGGTCAGAAAATGGCCAAAACTTGCATTTGACCTCATTGTCGTGATTCTTTCGTTACGCACCGTTTTTCGCGGAAATCGGTTTAAATTAAATTTTTCACTGGTAATTTCGACAATCTTCGTGCGTGGTCGACGGTCGTAGTGCAAGCTCTAACATCATTTTCTCAAAAACTAGTGAACCAAGTTTTATGGTCGATAATTTGTTTTAAAGAAATTATCTAGTGCATTTTTTAATTCTATCAAACATTAAAATCGGACTATTATTTCCATTAAAAAAAGAGGTTATTTTCTTTTCTTATAGAAATATTTTGTGTATTTTAATGGTATATACATCGTTAAAAAGCTATATTCCTCTTCTTTCAAATGGTCTGTTTGACATTAAAATCCTTTTAA